GGGGGGCACCGAGGGTTGCCTACGAACAGGGTTTTGTGGCACACTAGAGGCGATTGGGGAGGGGGGGGGGGCTGCTGGACTCTGCCCTCTGCCCGCCGCTGGCAACAATCGGCGCCTCATGGCTTGTATTGTTGGTGTTCGGCTAATCAGACAGCTGCTGGCGGGAGCTCCCGGCTGCCCCAGCACCAGGCCGCGAGCAGCCGCGAAGAGGGGGTATATAATTGCAATTAGGTGCCCCCTGCCAGCCCGCCCCGCCCCGCCCGCCGACCAGTTCGCCGCTGGTATGAGTAACGCGGCAGTCGTGTCTGGCCCGCGCCGCCCGACCACAAAGTCAGGCCCCTGTTTTCTTTTCCACGTACGTCGGTACATCAGTCGCCTCTTCCTTCCCCCGCGTGTGAGAGGCGTGCGGAGTCCGCCCCAGCGAGCGGCGCGGCGGGGTGGCACCCCGTGACCACCCGCCTCCTGGCCCCGGTCGCGTGCCAGCCCGGTTACCGCCCGGCCCCACACACGCCCCAAGACATTAAATACATTTTCTTTAATTCTTTTTGTGGGGTGTGAGCTTATTAAGACAAATCCTTTCCCCAAACTTCAAAATATGTTAATGCCGATTTTTAGAATCCACCCACGCTCACGTCAGTCTGTGAGCAAGCCAATCACCAGAACCCCGATTGATTATAACAACCAATCGTACCCCTTTCCCCTTTCCTTTTTCCGCCTCTCGCGCTGACAGCAGTGAGCAGTGGCCCTAGAGGAGTGTACACCCCCCCCTCCTTTTTCCTCTCTCTATGTATCGTTCTCTCTCTCCGCCCCGGCCCGGCCGCGCACACGGATCGCAGCAATTAGAACAAGTGCTGGAAAGGAGAGGCGAATGACCACAATTAATTTGCGAGCCAGAAATAACGAGTTCCGTGAGGATGCGGGGCACTCACCGAGGCACTCGCTGCACGAGCCAGTACTTGTGTGTTCTGTTCTGGCTTGCTCGCGTGCCACTTCCTCCCCCAACTCGTTTCGTTCGTACAAATACCTCATCTTTACATTTACGGAGGAAAGGGAAAGCCCGTGAGCGAGCAGGTTTCAACAACGCAGAAAAAATTTTCACTTATCACTTTATTTCGCCATTTTTCCACCACTTCTCTTTACATTGCTCAGGGAGAGACGTCAAACACCATTTACACTGCAACGTATCCGTGCGGAAACTGACATATAGAGTTTAACATTTCACATAGCTTCCTTTCCTATAATCACTAGTAATGGGGATGGAGACGCAAGGCAGGAAACCTGGATGACAAAGTTCAGAAGGAAAGCACAGACAAGTAGACAAACGTAATTACAATTCAATGTCTAACAATGGCCAGTCCTCTAAACGCATTTAATTCAACCCAACTAGAAACACTTATTATTTCTGGACAGGTGGATAATATAGGGTTGGCCTACAAAAAGTAGTTTGATGAGAGAATGTGTTTTGTAGAAATTGTGTGGGAAATATAGAGAGGTACTTTTTTACCAAAACTGAATGTCTCTTTCCACTACATATCACAAATTGTGGATTCCTAGAAACCACAGTAAACAACCATCATTATCACACATTTCAATAAAAATAAAATATACAAAGCAATAACAATCAGGTCCCACTAATTCCATGCCTTAAAGTCCCTTAGATATTAGGCACATTATTGAGCCTAACACAGAATTGATGGGCGATATATGAAAGAGATCAGTTTTTCATAAACCACATAGGAAAATGCAACATCAGTTACATGAATGCATGGTGGGAACTGATAATGTGAGACCATTAGCAGTGTATGTGTAGTCTCAATAATTACACTTGCCTGACATTGCTTAGTTTTGATATTTAAGAGATCATGAAAATCAAATTGAATTTTGACAACTCAAGTAAGACCTTTTCTGTCCATGTCTCTCTTTAGAGAGAGCTAGACATTCAAACATCCAAATTGAGTCAATCTAGAGATGTGAGACGGAGAATAAAGATAAAATATGTAGGAAATAAAATTCTTTTTATAAAATTGGTAAAAGAATCTAAGATTGTCATGAGATTCCAACTAATGAACAAGTGTGTTTACATGAAACATTTAGTATCTTAAAGAAAGTATTATCTAACATGTTACACACATCAGCCGAGAGCGAACAGACCCTTGCAATTGTGTCAGGTTTTTTAACAGCAATTTTCTCTTTGTCATTGTTTTAATATTGTCTGCTATGATACCTTGTTGCGCTCTAGCCAAGATATGAAATTATTACTCAGTGCAATCTGCAGAATGGTCCACATCATAAGTCTGTTTTAATTGCACCAAATGCAAGGTGAAATTAGCAAGTATTACACAGAGCTCTAGGCATTAAATGGAAATAATTAGAACATTCAAGATTATCTGAATACCTTATAATTTGAATTAGTGGAAATAGAAGAGAAGCACATAAAATACAATTTCATTTAAGAGAAGACAAAACCTTATTTTTAAGATTTGTGATGCCACATTATTTATTTTTCTTTAGAATTTTAATTGGACAACAGTTGTATCTCATACTTTCTCATCTTTAGTCAGTGTAAAAATATTGGTTCTAGTGAATTTAAGTATATACAGACTCAAGTGTAGTCTTTTTTCTTCTGAAGTCCTTACAAGAAAATTTCAAGTTTGTTTTATTTAAGTCAAGAATGTTGGTGAGAAGAAATTTAGTATCTATTAATAGATGATAATTTACTCCATTTAGCAGCTCCATAAGCAACTGAGACTATCATATATGGTTGCATGGGTGGGGAAACTACAATAAAATCAGTACTTGTTGCATTTGGTACTAACAGTCAGGATTTTCCTTTCAAGGCAGGTACTACGTATAGTTATACAACTCAAATAAGCTTTAGTCACCATCGGTAGTACTTTCTGACACACACACAACCGTTAAGCTTGCATTCTTAAAAAATTTCCTTTTTCTTGTGGACATTTCAAAAATTATTCACAAGCAAACCATAACAACTTGTCCTCAGTTTAAAGGCGCCTCACCCTACATGTAAAAGCAAAACAACAGTGGGTAAAATGCCAAGTGATATTCTTGTAGATAAAATTGAAATTCTGGATGGAATGCAATATGAAGACTTAATGTACATGATCAATGCAATCCTACACCAGAATAATGTTACATTCAAGACCAAGCGCTATGTTTAGCACACTAAGACAACATGGGGCCCTCAAACACAATTATCATTTTTAGGGAGATTAGTTGTAAACTCTACAGTTGACTAAACGTCATTGAACCTACCTCAGTTATGATTGACCTAAAATTTCAAAAAATGGTGCTAATGCAGTACAGCAAAAGAATATTATAGTAAATGAAATAAGAGAGATGAAAACACAGAACTGTATTCATATTACGAATCCTCAGACTTCTGAATGAAATGAGGACAGTCTGGTGATTGAGTTCCAGAGGGGAAGGAATGGTCATAACTATAAACCTGATATGAAAAGATGAAAATGAAAGTTTATGTAAGGGTCTTCATTATTAAGATTACGCAGAATCGGTGCTTCATGCACATACAAACACACATACACACACACAAACATAAATATTTATGTATAATAGTAAATTTATCTTAACTCATAATATCTACATGTAAACCTTACACTACTCAATAAAACAAAATGCTTAAAACAGTAACAATAGGGAGAAAATATTTTTTTGGTAGACAATCAAGTACATTGATAGTCATTTAAATAGTGGAGATTTGAGCTGTTTGCCATAATGTTAACATTTATAATCTCCAATAAAGATGAAATAAAGAAACAAACATTTACCAACAAATGATAGAAGCAATTTGGCCATTGCACACTCCATTTGCATCAGACCATATCTCTCACCTCCTGTTATATACAGTTTATACAAGAAAACATATACAAAATATGTTTATCACCCAGACTATAAAATAAGCATTTATGTATTTATATTGCACTTTTCAGCCCCTAAAATTGTCATGACATAATTCGAGATGCAAATGCAATGAACATTGTAAGTCATACAATGCAGAATGATGAGATTTTTAAATTATCCAAGATGGAAAGGCAATGTAGAGCCAACATCAGCATATCTTTCCTTCATTCAGAAACAGTAGTAAGATTAGGAGCACAGCACTTGGCACAGACTGAATCAATAGGGGCATTTTTAATTATGTATTTTTTTCTTAGACCAGAGACAAATTCTAAGCCCAAAACATTGTCAGATGTTAGTCCAGTAAGAGCCCTGCTCTGACCATCTAGTATTCTGTGGAAAGCTCCAAAGAGCAAACCTCACTGAAAATCACCTTGCCTGAGGATAAGGTGAAGGATGTGTCTCACATACCACAATATGCTACACCAGTATCAGCAATTTTCTGAGTTTTGTAGCTTTTCTCGCTTGAACCGTTCCTCCAGGTAGCCAGCAACCTGTGAAAAGAGGGATTTAAGTGTAGTACAATTTTAGGAGATACAAATCAAATTTCATCAATTACTTTCAAAAATAGATTAAAAAAAAAAAAAAAACTGTTTAAGGATAGTAAATTTCTATGGGCTGTTTTCTGTACTCTACAAACATCCATGATTCTGACACAGCAGCCTGAATTTCTCCCACCTTAAATGCAACCTCTTCTACAAATTCTCATTCAATTTGAAGTAGTGGAGAAGTATATTGAAATTCAAATGAATTGCTTGTTCCATTAAGCTGTCTTCAGGCGTACGAAAGCAACGCCAGCAGAAGCCAATTTCACACAGGCAAGCAATTAAGTCATTTAGAAGCTGCCCAGATGCTTCTATGAACTAAATAAAATTCGCTATTCAATGCACTCAAAACGCGTCTGAAGCCTCTAAATACTCTGTATTTTAGGTATACATTAATGCTGTGTTAGGTGTTAGAAAGCAACAGGAGACAAAGTAAAAGGGGAGTTCAGCAGCTAAGAATTTTGGCAGTTTCACAACAAAAGAAAAAAAACAACAGACGAGATAGGTATTATTTATTAGTTTTACGGAACGTTGTAGAACCATACATTCAGGAAATAAGAGTTTTATTCCACCCACATCACATATTAGTTACTAGTGTAAATAATTTTTTTCCAACTATAATTTTAGAAAGAAAAATATTTAAAAAGAGATTCACCATAAAATTGAATGCTGCATTTCTCAAGAATCTTTCATTTTACTGAGTAGACACTACATTATAAAAGGTTTGATCAGTAATAACTTTGACCTCACAGTCTTAGCAATATAAAGACAATTTAAAACATCAAAAATTGAAATTGTCAAAGGCAAGTGTAGTCACAAGTAGCTAATGTTTTAAGTATAATGCAGTTGGTATCATGAACATAACAGTATAAAGCGAAGTCAAATGATGTTATGTCATGTCACTGTTAACTATTTTAACGGCAAGGCAAAAACACATGCATAGTAAAAAAACAACAACAAAGAATTAAAAATTAACAGAAGGAATGTAAAGCATCTAAATAATTCCAGAGAAGGAAATAGGCAACTACATACAGCCTAGAATGCATTGTTGTACTCAACTCACAACAATTCATAAATTAGCTACACACATTGATAATTAAGTCCATAAAAGTAATTCAAGTCAGTTCCTTTAATCACATGTTCATACTGGTCACTATTTCTTAAACTCATGTCACAAAGCCTGAGCTACTCCCAATAATTCAGAGCTAGGCCTGAAGATAATGAAATTAAAATATTGATTTTGATAGTAACTGATGAGACTTTTGAGATATACTGAAGTCATTAATCTCCTGCAAGGGCGTTTTAAGTGGCGATTCCTCCTGAAAACAACAAATCTACTTCTGAGTAACTTTTATGGCTGAAACATCTAGTTGTATACTGTAATTGAGCACCAAAATTAAAAAATGAACAATTGCTAACTACAAACCTACAGCAGTAGATAACAAAATTTCAAGCTTTGTCTCTGAACCGATTACAAGAATATACAAACAAATAGAGGTGCTCAAACAAAGCATGCAGCTACAAAAATTACAATACAAGAAGTGCTTTTGAAAGTGCATGCAGTACGAGTGAAATAGAAATTGCAAACTTGGAGTATCAATCCCTCAGAGAAAGCATAGTACTCAGTTAAAGTAAGGGCCTTCCTTTACTGCACTGAGGCATAGGTAATACTGTGGAGTGCAAAAGTGTTACACAGCATGCAATTTGATGCACTAGAAGATAACTACAAAGAATGTTAAAACTCCAGATGTGTTAAACAGACTTGAAAGGAAGATACTCAAGACACGCACACACACGTACACACATCCCTTGAATAACATTAAAATAAGCACTGTAAAGAAAATTTAGTACCAAACCAGCTTTGTACATAAGGGAGAAAAACTTGCACCAGTAGAATCCTGGATGTCTGACTTTCCAAATATGTAGCATTTATAGGATTTAAAAAAAAAATCTATCTACTTATTGAACAAAGCCCTTACATAAAAGGTTGAGATACAAAATTCAAAGCAATACAAAAATAAAAATAAAAAAATCTACAACACAATTTAAGTTTATAACCACACAAAATTTGAATTTAAAAAAAAAATTAGTTTGACTGTGCTCCTACCTTAGGCTTTGGCCGATGTGTGTCTACAGCCTCAATAGGCAACTTGATATAATCCACTTTGCATCCATAGGCTACAGGTGTCAATTTTATCACAGTATGTAATGGAACGTTCAAGTAGGGCAATTCATCTAAAACAGGAAGATAAAACATTTACAAAAACATACTACGTATTATTGTCATATCTGAGGAGCACATTACTGCATTTTAACTTACCAGCTGATTTGTCCAAGAAATAAGCAAGAAGGCAACGCATCACAGCTTGATGGCTAACAACAAGTACATTGCCTTGACGCTCAAGTTCCATTATGACTGGTTCAAGGCGGGCTACTAGATCTTCGTATGATTCCCCACGGGGATAACGGTATGTGAATTTTGCCTCATCACGTGCTGCAAAGTCTTCTGGGTACTTCTCAGCGATTTCTTCGTAAGTCATTTCCTCACATATACCCTAAAAGAGTAAAATTCTTTTTATGCAGAATTTAAAAAAAAAAAAAAAAAAAAAAAATAGATTAATGAGCACCACTCACCGCATCAATTTCATTAAGTGCCTTCCAACGCTCTTGAGGTGCTGGTACATTAGCTACTGTTTGAATTGTCCTCTTCAACCATGATGTCCATACTCGTAGATTAGGGATGTTTTGTTGCTGAATGAAGCGAGAAAGTGATTCAGCATACTGCTGGCCTCGGAATGAAAGATCTGAGTCCCCGCCAATTCGCCCTTTTAAGTTTTCTTCACTTTCACCATGCTGTAAAATAAAATGTTTAGATGATGTTCAGATTGGAAACAAAATTTAGATTTATGACAAATTAAAAAGGCATGACAACTGACCCGAGTCAAGTAAATAGTTCTGGGCACTATGTGAATGTTCATAAGGTAGTAGACAATCCTGCTTTGGATATGGCCTTCATGTTTGTGAACAACAACCTTTTCTCCTGCAATTATGTAATAGGTAAAAAAATAAAAAATATGAACATGCATTGCATGCATTACTCAATTTTAGTATGGTAATTAATGAAATTGTTAAAATTACAATCCATACCTGTGTTATATATTTTCATAAAGGAAAGATTTGATTCCAATGTTTCATCAAGAGGTTCATAGCGTTCTTGATAATGCTCAATACGCATTAAGAAATCCTTGAGAACAGAATCCATATCCATGTTCATATTTTTGTAGTCTGGACTATTGACTTTTACTTCCTGAAACAGACAATTAGAAAAACTCTAAATAATGAAGAAAAGCACATCTGCGTATTCCAGAATTTTAGGGGAATGAGCTAAGAAGAATCCTGGTAACTCCTGAACAACTCTTCTACTACATTAAACTTCAGTAGAGGGTTACATTAATTTGCCTTTGAGGACAAATGAATAATATGATGTAAAATGATCTGCAGAGACCTTGAGTGACAAAAGAATTAGAAAGACTGAAAACTGAATAGAGAACAGCTTTTTAGGTTCATGAAGTTTCTTTAAATTCACTTGCTGGTTAAATTCGATTATTTTTTATAGCAGTCTGAACAGCATAGGTAATTTGCTACATCACATGCAGGGGAAAGTCTACAACTGTGAACAAGGGATTCTTGTGAAATATAGAATTATCAAACACTGAAATGTTAATGTCTCACAGATAGATTAAATTCAACAAGAAAATTTGAATTGTACACAAAATTTAACAAGTAATTTATTAACAGACTAATCAAACAGACTAATCAAACAGACTAATTTATGGGTCCATTTA